CCAAAGGTCTTGTTTCCTTATATGAAAAAGCCAGCCCTGAAATTCATATAGAACCACAAGGGACCAGAAATACCCAAAATAACCTTGAGAAAGGAAAAACAAAGTTGGAAGACTCACTTCTCAATTTCCAAGGAAAATACAGTCCATAGAACAGGAGAAAGTATCCTCAAATCATACATCTGCTAAAGGTCTACAGATCTGCAAAGGATATTTTTAGAAGAATTTGAGGACTGTCATTAATTCTTTAAATGTTTGGTACATTTAAAAAATGGTAAATTTACTAGTACTCCTATAACTCAGCATAAGAAAGACAACAAATATCCCTTTCCAAAATAGACAAAGGACGTTTCACCAAAGAAGATATGCAGAGGATCAAACAAGGACAAAGCATCTGGCCCCAGTGAAATGCAAATCAAAACCACAATGAATTTGTAGATTGCCTTTGGCAGGATATTGATTCTGCCAATTCATGAACATGGAAGTCTGTCCACCTCCAGGTGTCTTCTTCAGTAAAGAATTATATTTTTTGTCATACAGGTCCTTCAACTCCTTGGTTAGGTTTATTCCTAGGGCTTTAATTTGTTTGGTACTGTTTTGTTGGAGGCTATCAGAAGAAGTTGTTCTGATTTCTCACTCCACCTGCATGTTGCTGGTATACAGAAAAGCTACTGATTTCTGTATGTTGATTTCATATCCTGCTACTTCGCTCAAGGTACTTATCAGCTCCAGGCGTTTTAGGGTAGAGTCTTTAGAGATCTTTAGATACAGGATTGTATCAGCTGCAAACAGAGATAGCATGACTTCCTTCTATGCATGGATCCTGTTTATATCTTTCTCTTGCCTTATTGCTCTGGCTAGGAACTCCAGTACTAAATTAATTAAGTGTGGAGACTGTACATCCTTGTCTTGATATTGTTTTTATAGGAAATTGCTTCAGTTTTTTACTATTTAGCATGACAATGGCTACAGGGTTGTCAGAGCCTTCATTAGGTTAAAATATGACCCCTCTATTCACCTAGATTCCCCAGTTTTGTTTTATCATAGAAGGACACTAGGTTTTGTAAAGGCATTTTCTGCATTAGGATCATTATGTGATTCTTTAAAATCACAATAGACCCTTGACAGAGAAGGAAAATAATCCAAAAATTCGTATAGGATCACTAAGGCACTGAATAGCCAAAGCAATACTGAAGAAAGGAAGTAGTGCTAGAGTTATCACAATTGCAAGTTTTGAACTAGACTTCAGAGCCACAAAAACAAATACAGCTTGGTACTAGTAGAAAACAGACCTGAAGACTAGCAGAACAAATTAGAATACCTAAAAATGAATTTATACAACTACAATCATCTGATTTTTGGCAGACTTAATTTCTTTCTCTCACCTTACAGTAAAATCAATTCAAAGTGGATCACAGACCTGAATATAAGACAGGAAACCTTGAAAACACTACAGGAAAGAGTAGGGAAAACACTGGAACTAACTGGCACAGACAGAAACTTTATGAATGTTCCATAGACTCAATAAATAGGGAGACAGAATTGACAAACAGGATTGCATCAAGTGAGAATAATTCTATGTGGCAAAGGATATAGTCTCAAAGGTAAAAAGACAGCTTACAAAATGAGAGAAGATCTTTGCCAGCTATAAATCTGACAAAAGTCTAATTACTAGAATTTACAAAGAGCTTAAAAAAACTAAACTTTGTCACTGGTGGCTAATGCTTGAAATCCTAGGTACTCAGAAGCTGAAAACTGAGGATCACAGTTCAAAGCCAGACCAGACAGGAAAATCTTGTGAGACCGTCCAACAAATCACCAGAAAACTTGGAAGTGGTGCTATGGCTGAAAGTGATAGAGCACTAGCCCTAAGCAAAAGAGCTCAGAGATAGAACCTAGGCCCTAAGTTCAAGCCCCATGCTGACACAAAAAAGAAAACTAAACCCCTAAAAAAATTAATAACCTAATTAGTATCTGGGCAAAATGCTAACTTCTCAGAAGAGGTACAATAAATATATGAAAAAATGTTCAATATCCCTGGCCATAAATGAAATACAAGTCAAACAACATTGAGATTCCATCTCACTTGAGTCAGAATGGCCATCATCAGGAATATAAACAACAAATGTTGGAGAGGATTCGGGGGACAAAGGTACCCTGAATACATTGTTGGTGGGAATGTAAAATACTGTAATCACTACTCAAGTCAGTATGGAGATGCTTCAAAATATTAAAAATAGAACTACTCTATGATCCAACAATATTACTCTTGGGTATTTATCTAAAAGATTACAAATAGGGTGTAATAAAGGTCAGATGCCTTACATTATATATATATGAAATATATAATGAAATCTTATTTATCCATTAGGGAGAAAAATATTATGGATCGATCAGGAATAAAATAATTGACTACAGTCAGGCTCAGAGAGAAAATGGTACATGTTTTCTCTCATTTGTGGAAGTTAGAGCTAAAATATATTAGAAAACACAGACAGGGACATATGCACACATACACACACACACGTGTGTGTGTGTGTGTGTGGTCAAACTGAATTAAGTATGATACATATGGGGTGTGTAGATATATGTGTGTGTAAAAGTATGCACATATATATACACATATGTATGTATATACATATATAAATATACACACATATATACATGTTACATATATATGGGTAGAAAAACTTTTGCAGTTTCTCAACAAATAAACCATAGTAGTATTATTATTAAATATAGTATTATTATTATATGATCCTGTAATTCTATTCTTTAAGTAATTAAAAGGATTAGAAAAGATCTTATATCTCATCAAGTTGGCTTCATCCAGGATAGTTCAACACATAAATCAAAAAATGTAATACAGCATATAAATAGAAGCAAAGACAAAAATCAGATAATTACCTTAATAAGTATAGAAAAAAAACTAACAAAATCTAAGATGCCTCCATTATAAAAGTCCTGAAAAAAATCAGAACAGAGGATTCATACAACAACTTTAAAGGCTACATATGACAGACTCAGAGCCAACATTATACAGAAAGGGAAAAAAAAAATGAAAGTATTTCTTGTAAAATCAGGAATGAGACCAGGATGCCTTTTCTTCAATATAAGGCTTGAATTCTTAGCCAGAGCAATAAGGCAAGAGACAAATAAAACAGATATAAATAGAAATGATAGCAGTCAACCTACCGTGTCAAAAAAAAGAAAAAGAAAAGAAAAACCAGCCATGGACATAAGATTAACCAAAGATGTTAATGACCTCCACAATGAAAACTATACAGTGAAAAAGAAAGAAGAAAGTAAAAGAGTAGGGAGGGAAGCTTGGGAGGGAGGGAGGGAGGAAAGAGGAAAACGAGGAGGAGACCATAGGACACAAAAAGGACTCCAAGAAGCCAAAGCAATCCTGAGCAAAATGGCCAGTGCTGGAGTTGTAACAACTCTATTTCAAAACCACTATACCTTCAAAATATACCTCAGAGCCACAGTATCAAAAGCAACATGCTATTGGAATAAAAGCTGACAGAAATAATAGAACAGAATAGATAGTCCAGAAATAAGCCCAAGCAGGAATAGTCAATCAATTCTTAACAAAGGCACCAAAAACATACATTGGAGAGAAATCTTTCAATAGTGATACTGTGAAAACTAGGTATCCACATTGGAAAGATTGAACCCAAATCCCTAGCTTTCACTTTGTATAAAAATCAATTTTAAAACAGGGTCAAAGGCCCCTTTTCAAAGATTATCTTTGAAACTACTATGGGGAAACATTTTAAGTACTGGCATAGGCAAGGACTCCCTGAACAGTACCCAACAGCTCAGTAAATAAGGGCAAGAACTGACAAATTAAATTATAGCAAGATAAAAAGAGTTGATGTACAACAGAAAAACACAGTAAAGAAACAGGTTACAAAAATGGGAGAAAAGTGTTGACCAGATATTCATTTGAGATTAAACACCAAAGGAACAAATAATCTAAACAAGAAATAGACAAAACAATTAAACAGGAAGTTCTCAAAACAAGTAACAAAAGTCAATCAATACATGAAAAGTGTTTAACATGCTTAGACATCAGAGAACCACAAATCAAAACTACATTGCAAATCAGGCATCGGCTTACATCTACAGTCCTCGCTAGTCAGGAGACTTGAGATCTGTGATCTTTCATCCAAAGCCAGCTCTGGTAGACAACTCCAAGAGACTCCAATAAATCAGCAAAAAGCCAGAAATGGAGGAGGTATGGCTCAAAAAAGCCTTAAAAAGACTCCAATAAATCAGCAAAAAGCCAGAAATGGAGGAGGTATGGCTCAAAAAAGCCTTAAGGTCCACAGTTGAAACACACACACACACACACACACACACACACACACACACCTCACTGATAAGAATCCAAGGGGGGAAAAACATAACTCTCACTCACTGCTAGTGGTAATGAAAATTAGTCCAGCAGTATGGAAATTAATATGAGGTCTCTCAAAAAATTAAAACTCTCATATAATCCAGCCATACTACTTTTGGGTATATACCCTAAAGAAATTGAGCTGATTATTATTATGGAAATAGTCACATTACCTAAATTATGCAGCCAGCACAGGTACCATCAACAGATGAATGGATAAATATGGTATATATTCTTACTGGAGTTTTACTCAGCCATTAAGAGAAATGAAACTATATCATTTCCTGTAAAATAGATGGAACTAGATCACCTTGTTAAGTGAAATAAGCCAGTCTCAAAAGAGAAATACTCCATGTTTTCTTAGTTGTAGAAATTTACGGAAAATAAAATACAACAACCAACGTTACAAAAGTGGAGCAGGGATTCACAGGGAAGTAGAAAGGGAAAGACCAAGCGTGGGAATAAATAGGATCAAGGTATATTGAATGCATGTATGGAGATGCAATGAGGAAATCCATTACGATGTATAATTTAATATATTTCCATAAAGAAAAAATCGTGACATTTCATATATGACTCCAAACCACTGCCAACGTACCAATCAGCCGCAGCGCTGTCTGTGTGAGTGCCAGGGTACCCGAGTTGAGCAGGAGGTCCAGGTTGTTGGCACCATGTTGCAGAGTGATCATGCTGAGCATCACCAGGAGAAAGCGAGCTTGTGGGATGGTCCCCAGGCTTGGTCCTGAAGGGTTCTCATTAGTAATGGTTTGTAGGGGAACAGGCTGGATACCTAGTAAGTATTGACATCTACTTAAACTTCTGGGTCATCCATACAGCAATATAGATGTAATAGAAAACACTATAGAGTCTGGGTTTCTTATATATCATTTCTGTAACTTTTATTCAGTTCCCATATAGAGAATAGATGCAATTGTCCTACAACCTGCACTCCACACACAGACATCTATATCTGTCTTCAAGACTCAGTAAGCTACTCTCTAAAACCCTTGGGGCACACTTTTATTTTCAACAGAATAGTTATGTTTCTCTGTAGATGCTCAAAACTCTCCAGGAGACAAGTATTAACATTTGACACATAGACTCTTAGTATGTATGGTATTTTACAAAAATATAAAAATTTCAAAATTGTGCCTTCTGCCAAATTTGAAAGCTACTTAGAATATGAGAAAGCTAATACCATCTTAGGACATCAATGTAATGTTCACATTTCCAAAATCAAAAATGCTCATTTGCACATTGTCACAACCTGTAGTCTAAGATCAATGAAATTATGCTGGCACAATCCTAACTTGAATCCTAATACAGCCTTTTGGTAATGAGGATTTGGTTTGGTTGGAACTCACCAAGCTCTTTAAATTTGGCACTAGCATCCATTAAGACATTTCGAATATTCTGAACAGCCCAAGCATACAGCTTGCCAAAAGTAACTTCCAGTAGCATCCGATTAAAAGGTGGGATCAAATCAACATCCTTTAAGCAATCTGTAAGGGGTTCCCTTTCAAACAGAGGAAAAGAATTTTAGTTCAAATACAACCAGATTTTTTTTTTTTTTTGTCATTCATGGGACTTGAAGTCAGGGCCTGGGTGCTCTCCCTGAGCTTGCTGTGCTCAAGGTACATCTAGCTTTCTGTTGGTTAACTGGAGATAAGAGTCCCATGGACTTTCCTGTCCAAGCTGTCTTTGATCCCCAGATCTCAGCCTCCTGAGTAGCTAGGATTATATAGGCATGAGCCACCAGTGCCTGGTACAACCAGATTTTTTTAACTTCATTAGAACAACAGAGTATTGCCAGAAATTCCTGCAATTAAGAAAAAAAAAATAATTGTATATAGTTTTACCCAATATCGATTCCCTCAGGAATGAGTCTTTGCCATCCACAGAACATGGCATACTGTACAGAAGGAAGTAAGAAGTTTTTGGCTGCCAGCTTCAAAATTGTATCTATCCCTTCCAGGCGAACCTCGGCCCTCTCCAACTACAAAACATTGACGCAGAGAGGTTAGTGGCTGAGCACACCGCTCAAAGCATGAAGCCTGTTCTCACTGAAGCTTCCTTACCTGTTTCAGTAAGCACTTCCTCATTTTTTCCACATCTACTGGCTCTTCCTTAAGGGCAAACTCAGCAATCGTGCTGAGTAGTGCAGACTGTGGGTACAGCCCCTGAACGTTCTGCTTCAGCCACTTGTATTTGTGAACACCTGTGACCGTGCTCAGCAATGGCTGCCATTTATCCTAACAAAGGAGAACAATTTGCACCATTAGTGAGCCCTACTCACATGCATTCTAAAACAGTTTCTGAAGTAGAAATAAATGACTCATGCTATCTAGATATGTTACATTAAGTTGCTAAACTATGTTGAATTAAGCTCACATATGTTAAGTAGCTAAAAATTATCCTTCATATTAATATTCTCAGGGACCAATAGAGTTTCTCTAACAACAACAACAACAACAACAAAAGCATGCAGTGAATGAGTGAATGATGCCATTCCAGTAGCTCCAGTTCTGACCAGAGCAACAACCAGTCAAGCTCACAAACCATTACTGATCTATACTATTAACTTTTTTATTTCCAGGTGGAGAGGAGTTACTAGGATTTGAACTCAGGGCCTCACACTTATTAGGCATATGCTCTACCACCTGGATCCATGCTACTAACCCATTTTGCTTTCATTATTTTTCAAATAAGGTCTCAAGTTTTTGCCTTGGCAGGTCTTAGACCATGATCCTCCAACCTGAGCCTCCTTCATGGCTGAGACTAGAGGAATACTACTATGCCCATTTGTTAAGATGAGATCTCACAGTTTTTGCCTAGGCTAGCTTCAAACTACCATCATCCTGTTCCCCACTACCCACGTAGCTAGAATTATAGGCATAAGCAATGTACTAAGTATATGCTCAGTACAAGAGCCCAACACTTATAGATTCCTTTGCTATCGGCTATGCTTCTACTCAGCCAACCTCAAAACCACAGAAAATACTTCACCTTGGGAGATTTAATTGCAATAGGTCTTTTGTCCACATTTATTGGACTATGAGGCAAAAGACAAGCTTCTTCTAAATCACTCTCTTCGTTTCCGATTTTTTCTTCATCATCAGTAGATTCTGGCTTCTTAGGAACTGCATTTTAAGATATCATTCAGTGAAAAAAATCATTTACTTAAACACAACCTTAAATTAAGAAAGACAAATTTGCATGAAGAATAAACCTATTCTTCAAGGAAACATGCAAACATTGTAAGCGCTAATGCTCAAATGACAAAAGCATTATCACAGCAAGTATCCGTGACATCTAGTAGTGAGACTTTTCCACACCACGTCAATGGCAGAAAGAGAAAGGGCACTATAATGCAGAGGGAGCCTGCAGGACCAGGAGCCTGGGACCAGCAACTTTGCTTAAAAAGCCACAGTGAATAGTTCAGTCCTTTAGGCCATTCCTGCTATTGTAAATACTTAACTCGACAACTTTTTTATCATACAAATGTGTTCGTATATGTGTATAAATTTATACATATACACTTTATTGATCAATGCTCAAATTTAAACCTCATAAAATTTTCACATCAAATGATGCTACTTTTTATATTGTTTTACTAACTTAAAATTCAAGAAGACTTAGACTATAAACAACACAAAGCAAGCTACAAGTTACATTGGCTCACAGTCCCTGGCTTGTCCTTGCTGGCCTAAAGCAGTGATTCTCGCCTTCAGAGTGTGACTGAACCCAATGAATGCCTTTGCTTTTTCAGCTTCCTTATGGAAACTGTTGTATGATTTTCCAAAGTGATGTGAAATATTTTCCCCCTATTTTTATCCTTTTTAAGGTTTTTATGTCTAATGCTCCTCAGGATATTACATAAAGAGCTGAGATGATCTTGGCCTGGGTTGCTCAAATCCTGCACACTTCCAAAACTGGTCTATCCTTGACTATAGTCTCCAAGACCTAGCCTTAATTCCTGCCTGATAAAGACTTTTCAGCCAAGCATGAGAGTTCATACCTGTAATCCCTATATGTGGAGTCTGAGGTAGGAAGGTTTTGAGTTCAAGGTCAGTCTGAGCTACATAAAAGTGTTTCCATAGACCTGAGTCCCTGGACCAGGTGTCAAGAGCTTGGCAAAATAGGCGATGCTAACCATGTGTCTTATGGTGACTACCTGCTTTTGCTCTAGGGAGTTGTGAGTGACTGTTAGCGGTCACATGAGCACGGACTGCCCAGGGGATCAGCTTCCAATAAAAACCCCGGACTCCTACACTCCAGTGAGCTTTCTTGCTAGATCACCCTTCGTCAGTGCTGTTACATATCACTATTGAGGGAACTAAGCACAAGGGCACGTGACTCAGCTGGGAGGAGACAATGGAAGCGGGGGTGTGGTTTCCTCTGAACTTCCTTCCACGTATTCTTCTCTCTGCTACCTTTATTCTAGATCCTAATACATCTTCTTCGTCCTACAGTATCCTTCTCGCAAGTCTTGATGTCTGAGGGTATGCTTAGGGACCTTCTCACACAGCAACAGATACCCTAAGGACGTACACTTTGTAAGTTCCTTAATGTCTTAAATAGGGGAGAAAATAAGTTGGGGGGGGGCAACCAGCTTGAGATACCACACAATAGATCTATAAACCCATATTAAGAAATCTGGCTCAGAAATCCATAGAGAGGAGGTATTTGAGTACTTTATTACAGTCATACTTTAAATTTAGATTTAGTGCCAAAATCTTTTTTATACCCTTACACAGTTGCCAACTTGAAAGTATCAGTAACTCTTTTAGCTCCTTTTTATAGAATATAATAGTAACCCCTACCCCCCCACCCCAATGCACAGTTTCACCCTCATGGTATAAGTTTTCTGTGGTCAACTATGGTCCAACGATGCTTTCATTTGTCTTATGTCTTTGAAGAAAGAAAGACCACATTCATTTAACTATACTTAAATTATTGTAATTGTTCTATTGTACGATTAGTTATTGTTAATCTCATACCGAGCCTAATTTACAAGTTTAACTTTCTCACAGATATGTGCAAATACAGGGAAAAGCCAAGTAGACACAGGGCTTGGTGATTCCTGAAGTTTTGAATATCTACTGGAAATCTTGAAATGTATCACACATGGATTAAGGGGAGACTCAATGTTAAAAAAAAGTCTATATAAGCATAGCAAGGCCGGGCGCTGGTGGCTCATGTCTGTAATCCTAGCTACTCAGGAAGCTAAGATCTGAGAATCACGGTTCAAAGCCAGCCCGAGCAGGAAAATCTGTGAGACTCTTATCTCCAATAAACCACCAAAAAACTGGAAGTGGCGCTATGGCTCAAGTGGTAGAGCACTAGCCTTGAGTTGAAGAGCCAAGGGAGCCAAGGGACAGCGTCCAGGCCCAGAGTTCAAGCCTCAAGACAAAACAAAACAAAACAAAAAAAGAATAGCAAGATTAAAGTATAAGATTAAATGTTCCAACACATCTCAATACTACCTTGAAAATATTGGAATAAAAAATGTTTAAATCAATTTAGTGACATTAGGATTTCTCTTTTTCAGCATTAATTTACTATATCAAGCAATAACATTCAATTCCAAATTGCTTCATTCTCTATCTCTTAGAGAAATAAAAGAAGACTTCTAGGTTTAATCACAAAAACATTGTAAACACTACAACAGTAGGTGAAAATGTCATATACAATGCAAATGAGTTCTCTTAAAAATCGGACTCAGTGGTATGGAGAGAAGTATATACTTAAATGACATCTTCCAACTTCTGTGTTTCTTACCTCTCTTTTTCCTTCGTTCTCGAATTATCTTCTGGGCTATCCGCCGCCAACGAGGCAAAGAACTTAACAGTTTAAACTTGGACACTACAGAGAGGTCATTGCAAACAGCAGGTCTCAATTCATTGAAGAGGAATCGCAGGCGTTCGATGACAGGTGCGCAGACCTCCTTATAAGAACGGCCCTGCTCTTGGTGAGTCTGCAAAGTGAAAGAGAGAGAGATAACTTAAATATTCTAGCATGTGACTACAGGACACAGAAGAAAAGGAAATATAGTCCATTCACCTTAATGAGCGAGCATTTTGCTTGGTAGACAACTCTACAGACATCCACCACTGATTTAGGCAATGTTCTGTGCTTTACTTGCTCAATACCAAGTGTACCTGAGTGAACTAAAGATAATGCCACGTGACCTGTAAAAGACATTTGAAAGGACAAAGGAGGAATGAATGTACACTGGACACTCAAAGATCTACAGTATAGTTAAAGTAGACAGATATTGAGCATCCTACCTAAATCTTCATGTTTTAAGAGGCAGCATAACAGCAAGCGGCCAACTTCTTCCACAGGATGCTCAGGAGGAAACATGATAGGTGTGGTCAAGTGACACTGTCTGCAGTACCTTTCAATCTGACACAGGAAGTCCTGGAACAGAAGGACCAGAGGTAACTTCAGCATCACCTAGCAGGTCTTTATAACTGCAGACATTCCAGAGTTTCTGCCACACTTACAAATAGATAATGCAAAGCTGGGTATTACGGAACAGAATCAGCATCTCACCTCCACAACAACCCTCCAAATAACACAGAAACAAAAGTTTGTTTGCAAAAGTAAGAATGCAGCTGTAGGTCAAAGTCCTCAGATGATAAAATAGTTCCGGTCAGAAGTCTGGGAAGATCTGGCTCACCTTCACATTGTGGTCTTGAATGTTATTATCCGCAATCGCTTGCAGGAATGCTTGTGAATGGTCCCCCAGGGCCCGTCTGTGAGAACAGAGCCGAGATTTGCTGGCAGGTGTGCCCCCAGGGGAGCTGCAGTGGTCCTCATCTTTCTCTTCATTGTAACTGTAATGGATCTGGCTGGTCTGCAGGCCTCCAGAGAAGATGGATGACTGAAGCCACTCTAGACAATGCACAAGCAAACAAAAAGAGGGACTGAAGTGCACTCTTCATAAATACAGTGTTTTAAAGGTGCTTAACATGAATATTCAATTTAGAAGGTGAAATTCAGCCATCATTCCTATGAAAGAGTTACATCTAACATACTTAGGCTGACTTACAATTCCAATATACCTTAAGGTATATAGTCAATATACCTGAAGCACAGCATTAGAACTCAACCAAAGACCCAATCCAACATTTACTGGCTATCTGCCCTCTGTACCGGGCTGTCTGGATCCATACAATGGGCTATGGTTTAGATATAGTTTGAGTGTGTCCCCTAAAAGGTAATATGAAGAGGTACTGGGATCTGTAAGTTCCATGGGAGACTTTACATCATCTGAGTTGCACCCTCCGAGGGAATTGATATAGTTGATTCAAGACCTTGGTGGATTTATGAGAGAGCAAGTTTTTGTAAAAGCCTTAAGTTCACCCCTAACCCACTCTGACCTTTAGTCTTACCACGTAATCACTCTCTTACTTGTCTACCATGATGCCACCTGCCATGAAGTCACATGGGAAAGTGGCGGTCAACAAACACATCATACCATTTCAATTGTCAGCTGCCAAAACCGTGAGCAGCTGAGCACTGGGTGGCTCAGGCCTGTAATCCTATTTAGTAAGCTAAGATTTGAAGTCACAGTTCAAAGCCAACCCAGGCAGGAAAGTCTTATCTCCAATGAGTTATTAAAAAAAAAAAAAAAGTGGAGCTGTGGCTCAAGTGGTAGCGTAACAGCCTTGAGCAAAACAAAATAAAAAAAACTCAGGGATAGAAACTAGGCCCTGAGTTCAAGTCCCAGGACTGGAGCATGTGCACGCACATGCACACAAACACACACACACACGAACGCACACACGCACGCACGCACACAAAGTAAAATGAACCTCTTTGTCTTCTGCTTTGGTAACAAAACATAGCACTGCCCAAGACTGGGCTCACTATATCAAAGGGAAATGATCACTCAATTCTGACTGTTAAAGATCAGATAAAGGATTTCAGGGGTCATAAGGCTTACAGCAGTAATAAGGCCAAAATGTTGTCTTTTATGTTAGTTTCAACTGAGCTGAGACAAAGATGCTGAATGAGCAGACAGGAGAACAGCACACCTGAAGGGTTTCTACAAAGAACATCCTCAGGTGGGCTACATATTCCTAGAATATTTACAAATAACAATGAGAAAAAATGTCTGATAAATGATATATAGAGATCTTAACGTAGCTCATGCCTGGAATCTAACTACTCATGAGGCTGAGATCTAGAGAACCATGGTTTGAAAAGTCCATGAGACTCTACCTATAAAATAACCAGCAAAAAGCCATTCTGGTGGTGTGGCTCAAGTGGTAGAGTGCCAGCCAAACAAGTAAACTGAACAAGAGCTAGGTCCTGAATTCTGAGTTCAAAATCCAACAGTGGGCCTGGTGCTGGTGGCTCACGTCTGTAATCCTAGCTACTCAGGAGGCTGAGATCTGAGGATGGCGTTCAAAGCCAGCCCAGGCAGGAAAAGTCAGTGAGACTCTTATCTCTAATAAACCACTCAGAAAACCAGAAGTGGTGCTGTGGCTCAAGTGGCAGAGTGTTAGCCTTGAGCTGAAGAGCTGAGGGACAGCACCCAGGCCCAGAGTTCAAGCCCTGTGACCGACAAAAAAACAAAACAAAACAAAAAAACCAACATCGGCAAAAGGGAAAACAAACAAAAAACCCCTTAGAGCTGTGAGATCCAAGGGACTAAAAAGACCTTTGTGTAGCACAAGATAAATAACCAGGCAGGTCTGACAAAAATATGCCTTTATTAAGATAAATAGGAATATTCAACTGTAACTGATTGTGACAATTGGAGGGCATAGTACTCCCAAAACAATCAGAACAACATCACTGCAGACTTTCTCCCCCCAGAACTTGTAAATGTCTCATCATTGCGTCCTGACCTCCCTAGAATGTCAGCTCATCACCAGCTGAGACTGGAGGTTTATCTAACTCATCTCTGTACCCTGAATGCCTGCCCACCCTAGGAAACTGCACAGCAACAAATTTCTCAATAGAACGTTTACTGGATGGACAGGTGGAAAGATTTAAAAAAATGTACAACTCAGTGAAGAAAAACTAAACCTATTTTATGGCTATAGAGAAATATCTTTGTTTCAGGTAGTCATAGAAGCTGCCAACTCAGAGTGCACTGGACTTGAGTCTGGTGAAAATACAATCCTTAGACAGAAGGCTATTCCCAATATGAACAGCCAGTCCATGCTGCAGAACTCTGTGTGTGATTTCTGGGCACACAGGGAGATGACAGCCATACCAGGCCCATCTGTAGGAAAGAGCAGTATGAGACAAGTCACCAGGCAGACATTCCTATGCACTTGTCCTCTTCCTCAGTGGCTGAGGATGAGATGAACAAATGGAAGCCACCCACAGCTACTTGGTAGTGGAGATTCTCACTGCCGTCATGAGTTGAATCTTCTTTCCTCTCTTGCTCTTAATGGTACTTATGGCTCAATTATTTACTTGCTGATTGGTTAGCAGAATACAAAGTTTTTCTTACTGGCACATTCAACCTCGACAGGAGACAGCGGTGTGCTCACTGCTAAATAAGAAGCATGTAATCCAAGAAGCAGGCCCAGGTTCCTCTCTGTGTCTATTAGAGGTGAAGAAAGACTTCCCAGATCTGGTATGGTAACCACTTCTTGGTCAGGCTGGAAAAATTAGTTTCATCATCAGTCTGAGAAAACAAGGTTAATTAAAAACATAACACCAGAAAAGCAACAGCTTATGTGCTTAAGAGCAATAGCCCTCTTCTTTGTAATTGAAAGAATTTTGCTTCTACACAATTCTTCCCCAAACATTAGAAGCAAGTGAAGGCACAAGTCATCCTTGTTCCTAATCCTAAAAAGTTTATACTAGCATGCCCAAGTCACACACTCTAATAAGCACACAGCAGATGAACAGCTGTGGGGTGGGGGAAGGAGAGTAAAGGATTCCAGAACATACATAAAGACTTAGAGCCAGATGCAGTGGCCCACGTTTGTAATCCTAGCTCCTTAGGAGGCATAGAGTGTGAAGATCACAGTCATGGCAAAATGTGCTCAGAACTCCAACTCCATCAATAAAAAAGCTGGGTGTGATGGCACATACCTGTCATTCTAGGGACTTTCTGAAAAGTGTGACTAGAAGGCTCATAGTCCATCATCCATGTAGATGAGAGTCTCTCTTAAAAAAAATAAGTGTAAGCTGGGCACCAGTGGCTCATGCCTGTAATTCTAGCTACTCAGGATGAGATCTGAGGATTACAGTTCAAAGCTAGCCCAAGCAGGAAAGTCCAATTAACCACACAAATAAAGCCGAAAGTGGAAGTGTGGTTCAAGTGGTAGAGTGCTGTATTTCCTACATATCGATAGGTTTTAGAATAATTTTTCAAGACCATTAGAATGTTCACATCAGAAATGTTCACATGAATAAATACGAATCCATTTGTCAAATTATCTTGATAGCCTGGGTAGCTAATTCTAGCTACTCAGGAAGCTTAAATTTGGAAGATCACAGTTCAAGGCCAGCCTGGGTAGAAAAGTTTTTGAGACTTGGATCTCCAATTTAAGTAGCAAAAAACCAAACTGGAGGTATGACTGAAGTGGCAGAGCACCTGCTGTGAGTGAGCAAGCCAAGCAAGTGTGAGGCCCCTGAATTCAAGTCCCAGTAACAGAACAAAAACTTCATGTTTATCACTATTACCCACTGCCACCTCCAAAGTCCCTATCAGTACTTCAGGGTCAATAAAACTCATCCTATTACAAACACACAGAAGAGCCGACTCCAGTGTTCCCCACGGGGTCGCTCAAAGCAGACCCAGAGCCTCACCTCCAAATACTGGCCAACACAGAACGCATGCATGGACTCGCGTGTGTCTTCAAACTGCAAAGCTGCTTCTAAAGCAACCACCGGGTCTTCTCCTGCAAACTGAGCTGAAACAAAAAGCATAAAAGCAACAAGACTTCACAATAATTTGCTTAGGTAACAATAACAGGCATGAAATAAGTCAGCCTGAATTAACTCAAAAGTGAGTTATCAGAATAGACTATTCTCGCACTCTCTCCCAGGTTTGCCTGGGCCACTGAAAACTTGAAACAAGATCTAAAAACATTGAGACAAAAATTGTATGATGACAGATGGATGCCAGTGGCTCACACCTGCAATCCTAGCTATTCAAGAGGCTGAAATTTGAGAGTTGTGGTTTGAAGCCAACCTGGGCAGTGATTCTTATCTCCAAATAACCAGTGGCTAATATGGCAGAGCACCAACCCTGCATGAAAACCCAAGAGTTCAACTCCCAAAAACTTCCCTACACTCAAAAAAAAAGAAATGCATGATGATGAGAAATTCTGCAATTTGTGCTTGAATCTGTGGGTAACATAGATACCACAGATACGTGAAAATGTGTGATATTAGGGCAGAAATAAAGGAGATCATGCTGTTTAAAAGAACACAGGCTGCAAACTTTTAAAACTGTCAGCTATCATCAGGTACTGTTGGCTCACGCTTATAATCCCAGCTACTCAGAAGGCTGAGATCTGATGATCATGGTACAAAGCCATCCAGGGCAGGATAGTCCCTGAGATCTTTATGTTCACTTAACTACCAAAACAAAACAAAAAAGCATAAGTAGAGCTGTGGCTCAAGTGGTAGAGCACTAGCATTGAGCAAAGCAGCTCAGGGAAAGTGTACAGGCCCCGAGTTCAAGCCCCAGGACCGGCATAAAAACAAAACAAAACTTTTAACCATAAAGTAGAACTATGTCCTTACCCAGAATACTATTTCCCGTTACGGACTGGGTCTGGAAGTCCTTTATGTCATACACCTTCCCATCAATCACCGTCCAGAAGCCACCATCCTTATTGTGATTCTCCAGATCAGCTTTGCGAATAAGCGTTACTTCCTCGTTGTTTCTGCAATTCTGACCTGTAAAAAACGACTCTGCACACACATAAGCCAAAACCCAGTCAGTCAGTTCTTCAATAGATCAAGTGAAAAAAAAATGTGTAAAAGAACAAGCAGAAACAAATTTATAATCAATAAGAGATTAATCTCTTTCAATTAAGTAACACTACAAACATTCCATTGAAAGAACAGTTTAAAACACACACACACACACAAGAGCACTAATATCAAATGTGAGCACATGCCAGGGCACAGAACAATTCTCAACAGACTTCAAAGAAGTCTGTTGTTAGAAGTCTGAAGTTAGATAATGTGTGCTGCCAGTAACATAGTTAACCCAGAAGGGGATAACAAAAAAAAAAAAAAAAAACCTCGCCAATTTTTTAGGAATTACAAAGTATACTTTGAAGTAACCCCAAATTCTGAGGATAGAAATGACTATGAAATTAGAAAGTGCACTAATTGGAAAGATAATGAAAATATACAGATAATGAAAACACTATAGATTGAAACGAGGTCTATCGCTAATGTATACTAAGGACATTGATGCCTTAACATACATATATATATATATATATGTATATATATATATATATATATACACACATATAATTTTACTTTTAAGCTAGTAATTACATCAAATCAGTAAGATTCATTCATTCATAATACACATAATGATACTGAAGAGAGAAGAGGAAGAGGAGGAACTTGATTGGCCACTTTTGAAAAACCTAGGATACCACCTTGGTACCAAAAAAAAAATGGGGGGGTGAGGTAGGGGGCAGTAAGAAGCCAGGCTCTGGTGGCTCATGCCTGTAATCCTAGCTACTCAGAAGGCTGAGACCTTCTGGAAGACTTACTTATAGTTTGTGGAGTTTTTGTTTGTTTTGGATTTTTTTTGGTCTTTTCTTTTTTGGTACTGGGGATCGAATCCAGGATGCTGCATTTGCTAGGCAAGTACTTTGCCACTGAGCTACATCCCAGACCAAGACTCACTTACAATCCCAATTTATCTAGAGGCTGTCACTGGATTTCAAGGTTCTACTTTCAGTGGCTAAGACCAAGTGAATTGCTGGCTGCTAGCTGCTGAGGGAGAGGGGAACAGGGAATTAGTATTCAATGGGAAAAGTTTCAGACAATCAGAAAAATCCATAGTGATGCATGATAACTGTATAATATGAATGTACTTCAAATGCCACTCACTGTGCACTTAAAAAGAGTTAAAATAGTGACTCTTAAGAGTCTTACTGTGTTGTCTAGACTAGTCTCAAAAGCCTGGGCTCAAGTAGTCCTTCTACCTCAAGCCTCTCAAGTAGCTGGGACTATAGGCATGCAATACCATTTCCAGCTTGTTAGGAATATCTTCTTACTGTTAAAAAAAATAAATAAGAAAGGAAAAAAGTGTGCTTCCCACTCCATTCTACACAAACCCACCAAAAGACTATTCCCAAAGACATCCACAGGCCATGATGATTCTATAGCAATTCTACTGACCTTATACATACCCCACAAGAAAAAAAAACAAAAAACTCATTCTCCATTTCAGTTCAACACTAGCCCAGACTTGGTTACCAAGATCAGAATGTGTGGTTTTCTATAATGAAATCCATGAGGTAGTTTTTCCCCTGACTATGTAACATTTTCCACTGCATGGTAGCTAACACTCAAGCAGCCTTTCTCCTGAATTACAGCTTTCTTGTTTACAAAGAGGCTATGGTTCTAAGTACTTTGGAGAGCCTTTCAAGAAAAGAAAATTACAAGAAAAACTACAAGGAAAATGACAGACATAGATGCAAAAATTTTTAAAAAGCGAACCAAGACTAGCAATATGTATATAATCATCAATGCATTACACCTAACGTAGTTTAAGTTCAAATCTATAACGTTAACACTTAAAGGGGGGGACAAGTCAGCAGCCTTACAGCCTGGAGAGGAGCACCTTTTAGAGAGATAAAGCAGTTTTTAGGAGGGTCCTGTTACTTCTTAAGCCTATATGGTCAGTTACAGAACAGGTGTGGTGGTACATGCCTGTCATGTACCACCAGCTATTCAGGAGGCAGAGACTGGGAGGACTGTGGTTCAAGACCAGTCCAGACCAAAAAAAACTAGTGAGACTATCTCAACAAAATAAGCTGGGTATGGTGGCAAATGCCTGAGCTATAGGTAGTACTCACTCCTAAATCCACTCCTAATACAAGCATTCACTTCTAAATAAAAGTAAGTAGTAACTATATTAAAAAATACAGACTGTTCAACATCCCAAGGCTATTTTCTTTGCCACCTCTTGCTTAGGCTCCTGTTTTGTAAAGATGATCCAAGATGAGAGAAGGAAAACTGACCCAGCTGGAGCTTTTATGACGTGAAAGCTAAACCATGACTGCGTAATTCTGAATCCAGGAAACCAGATTATATAGATCATGCCAACGTAGACTTAATAGGCAAAAATGCCAAAGCTCAAAACTTTTTGAAAAACAAAAGTTTAATTTCAGTTTGGGGTACATACACACTGTTGTCAGGGCTGGGAAGATGGCTCAGTGGTAGAGCGCTTGCCTTGCATGCCTGAGGCCCTGGGTTCGATTCCTCAGCACCACATAAACAAAATGAAAAAAGCCGGAAGTGGCGCTGTGGCTCAAGTGGTAGATCTGAAGAGCTGAGGGACAGCGCCCAGGCCCCAGGCCCAGAGTTCAAGCCCCACAACCGGACCCAAAGAAAACCCAACACACACACACACACACTCACACACACACACACAAACACACACACACACACACAAAACATATACACTGTTGTTGTCTACAGACACATGCTCAAATAATATCAATGGCTTCGGGAAGTCAGCCATGATCAATTCCTGCCTCCTGAACTGTGCCACATCTACCTACTTAAAGAGCACTTTCTGGAAGAGTCCTAGAACCACCTCAAGCACCGGGACTGCCATTTCAGGATTCAACAACAATGACTAATAGAAAAAATCTTCCTCAAAGTGATTACCATCATGTTCCACTCACGTTGTACCAGCCATGGACATGGCCAATAATTGGCCCTTCTTTTAAACGTGCACTTTCAGACAGAAAGGCAAGAAATGGTGAGATGAAAAGAAACACTCGGCAAAGCCCTTCAGATTACGATGTCATACCCATTATTCCAGGCCAGGCCAGCTCTTCATGGTCATCCCTCTCCTTTTCTGGGGCCAGGTGATTGAAGCGATCGAGGTGTTCCAACAGACCACCCAGCAGAGGAACAGCTCCAGCCTCTTGCATGAGACCAGCATTTTTACTGAGAAGAAGCACTATAGAAACCACTAGCTCAGGAAGAAGAACACCTACATTACAAAAAAAAACCAAAAAACAAAAAGGAAAGCAAAGAAAAGCTGTAAGACTTTTAAAAAGTGTTTATCCTATAAAGTACTTGATAACATTGCTGTGTATTTAAATTAAAAGTCACAAAATAAGGACTATTTAGCTTTTCATATTTCTACACAAATTTTACGAGGTGTAGCTATTAAACAGAATGCTCTGAATTACAAATCGACTTCCAAAACTGTGTTTTAAACACAGCACTATGAACTAGTCTTTTTTTTTTTGGCCATCCCGGTGCTTGAACTCAGGGCCTGGGGACTGTCCCTGACCATCTTTTGCTCAAGGCTAGCACTCTACCACTTGAGCTTAAGCCACAGCACCGTTTCTGGCATTTTGTGCTTATGTGGTCCTGAGGAACCAAACCCAGGGCTTCATGCATGCTAATCAAGCACTCAACCTCAAGTCACATTCCCAGCTCTGAACCAGTCTTTTATTCAGAAAACTAACATTACCACTCTATTACCAGAGAACAAACCTAATCTCACAAAATTAGTAGCAAAAGATATTAACACTGAAATATATTAAGGTTCTAAGAGGACAACTAATTTTCATGCTGGCGAAACAAAATTAAATCATCACCTTCGACCTCATTGTTGGAGGCTAATACTGATGGCACAAATTGAAACAGCTAACTAAGGACATTTAGTCTCATGCCAGATGGCTTAACCACAGAACTGCCAAATGAGAAGGGTGGGGAAGATAGAAGGAAAAGAAAAGAAAGGAAGATCGGAGGATCAGAAAGATTAGAGTAAATCCAGGACGTTTTGCCAGGAAAGGAAACATTTCAGTTTTCATTCATCTTAAATAAATACATGTCCACAGTCGGACATCAAGAATGGTACCTGTGAAGTCCCCTTCCAGGATGCCGGCCACCTCTGCAAAGTGCCTCCAGCTGGTAGAAGCAATGCTAGCTGCCACAGGTAGTATGTCTCCAATGTGTGTGCACAAAAGGGCTGTGTACTTTTTTAGCAAAGAACCAACACCCATCAGATCAGGACCTGGAAGGAAATTTAGAAAGTTTCATTTTCACTATTAAAGATTTACTCTACAAACTGACTAGGTCTACTTTTGCAATCCCCAGGTATACATCCTTTCCAAAATAAAATCTGCTAACTCTTACTCCTTGGCTTTTTTTTTTTTTTTTTGGTCAGGCCTGGGTGCCTGTCCCTGAGCTCTTCAGCTCAAGGTGAGTGCTCTACCACTTTGAGCCACAGCACCACTTCTGGTTTTCTGGAGGTTAACTGGAGGTAAGAGTCTCATGGGCTTTCCTGTCCAGGCTGGTTTTGAACTACGATCCTCAGACGTCAGCCTCCTGAGTAGCTAGGATTACAGGTGTGAGCCACCAGTGCCTGATTCCTTGGCTCTTTTTTATGTCACAAAATTTCAAGGACAGTGAAATTTGTGCCACATAGTATCTGACTTTTGGGTCTACAAATTCTAAAGTCACAACTTAAAAGGTTTTTTATAACATTATATCCAACATACCAATGTGTAGTTTTTCTTAAAGTCTGCAAGTTTTTTTCCCCAGTATTCAAATGAAGCTAAGCATTTTTCAGTCTCATAAATGAGCTTTTTATACCTTCACAACAGTCCCTTCATTCAGACTCTTTAAGTTTGCCTATTTGATCTGAACTTCTATCATGAAGTACGTAATTCCTTTTAGGAAGTAACTAAGTTATTTTAGAGAAAAACTTTTACAACAAAGCAGCAGAGTTTCCCACTCTCCGCAGAGAAGACTACATTAGAAAGGATCAGCCCTCCCTTGAGTATGGGTATGAAAAACCATTCAGGCATAGGGCAGAGCATTTTTATTTATTTATTTATTTTTTATTTTTTTTATTTTTTTATCGGTTATGGGGCCTGAACTCTGGACCTGGGCACAGACCCTCTGCTCTTCAGCTCAAGGCTAGTGCTCTACCACTTGAGCCATAGAGCCACGTTTGGCTTTTTCTGCTTATGTGGTGCTGAGGAGTCAAACTCAGGGCCTCATGCATGCAAAGTAAGTACTTTACCACTGAGCCATCTTCCCAGCCCAGGGGAGAGCATTTTATACAGCTTCTTGTTTGAACCCTCACAGGTACATCAGGGATTATCTCAATGATGTAAGAAATTTTTGGCTCTGGAAAACTCAACTCAATGTCTAACAGCTATTAACCAAAGCTATAAATAAAACTCAAGTCTTCCTGCCATTATACCCGTGTGGATTCCCTACGCAACAGGAATAATCACTATGCAATTCCCACATCACCTCAGTCAATAATGATGTGTAACTAATAACGTGGAACAAATGTGACAAATCTTCTGTAAGAGTAAACTGTATAAAAAGCAATGTATTTCTGACATCTAAAGAATTTAAATGTTGTCAGGCTCTCACCCATAATCCCAGCTATTTGAGAGGCTGAGATCTACAGGATCTCAAAGGCCAACCATGGGAAGAAAAGTTCACCAGACACCATCTCCAAATTAACCAGAAAAAAAAGCAGGGCTGAACCAGCTTAGCAAAATTCAGGCCATGAGTTCAAATCTCAGTCCCATCAAAAAACAAGAATGAAATTATGAGACACCAGAATCAAGAATACTGATAAGTATAATATACATATATTTGATTAAAAAACTGGATGCGGGGCTGGGAAGGTGGCTCAGTGGTTGAGCGCTTGCCTTGCATGCCTGAGGCCCTGGGTTCGATTCCTCAGCACCACATAAGCAAAAAGAAAAAAGCCGGGAGTGGCGCTGTGGCTCAAGTGGTAGAATGCCAGCCTTGAGCTGAAGAGCTGAAGGACAACGCCCAGGCCCAGAGTTCAGGCCCCACGACTGGACCCCCCCCCAAAAAAAAACAAACAAACAAAAAAAAACTGGATGCACCAGGAGCTGGTGGCTCATGCCTGTAACACTAGCTACTCAGTAGGCTGAGATCTGAGGATCATGGTTAAGCCAGCTGGGACAGGGAAGTCCATGAACCTCTTATGTCCAATAAACCACCAGAAAACTGAAAATGGTACTATGGCTGAAAGTGGTGGAGCACTTGCCTTAGCTGAAAAGCTGAGGGACAGCGCCCAGGCCCAAAGTTCAAGCCCCACAACAGAACAACAACAACAAAAAAAGATGCAAGTAAAGCCTTCAATATTGATGCAGTTTAAACAGAATGAGAACTGCATATATAAAATAGACATATTAAAAAACTTAAATAAAAAAGCCAAAGCACACAGAATACTTTTATATTTTAGACAACTTACTAGAAATATCTGAGGTCTGACTAAGACTTTCTCCTGGATAAAGTTTACTGATAAGTAAGCGCTGAAAACGTAGCAATAGATCCAATGAAGCCGATCGTTCACGACTATGCTGCTCAAAGTCCAAACATGATGAAATGCGACGAGCAACATCTTTTAATCTGGCTACAGTCTGAGAAGCAATGTTCCTATGGAGTGGAAAAGAGAATTACAGGTGAAATGAGTTCTTTATATTAAAAAGGTAAGAGTTGTAGGTTATAAATTAGTGTCAGAAGTACATATAATAAATACATGCAGGTGTATCTGCAGTGTAAGCATAACCAGAGGCCAAGCTGAACCAAGGAACAGAAAAGGCACAAGATAATGATGTCCCTTGCTTTATAAATGTGCTCCCATGGGATCTCATGGACTAGCGTCAAATGAGAGCAGATTTTGCTCAAAGAGGACTATTTCTATATAAAAAGTATTTCTATATAAAAGTATTCTTATAACTATATAAAAGTATTCGATATAAAAAGTTTCCATACAAAAGTATTTTATATAAAAAGTATTTTCCCCCAAAGTTGCACTGCATATATAACCATGACCTACTGTAAGAGGCAATTCTTACTCAATTGTCAAACACAGTCTTGAGACCTTGCTGCTAAATTTCAGCAAATTAATAAGAAAAAACAGTAACTCCCAGCTAAGATATAAAACAGCGGATACTATTTACCTAAGAAGCTGCTGTATGAGCTGAACCAAAGGCAAACACTGCTTGCCAGAAGATTCATAGATCCCTGTATTAATAAGGTCTTTATCCAGAGGAGTCCTACTTCTATGAAAGGTTGAGGCATTTGCTTCCTGTTCATCAATTTCTTTCTCTTTCTGTGCTTCTTTTTTGGCTTCAATATCCTGTAATGCATAGAAACAAAAATGGTGACCACTGATCTCATTAACAGGTATAAGCATGCTATGTCCAGTTGTCAGCCTCTGCAAGCAGTAGCACACAATTTGGTAACACTGTCCCACATATCTTCAGCAACTCAGCAGCAACTCAGCTGCTCAAGTTCTAAATAAACTGTATTTCCTATGGATCCAGTGGCTGGGCTACCATTAATATAATGATCTCTTTTTCCTTCTGCCAAGTCCCTAAAATCTTTGTCCCTGCTACTGGCAAGTTTAATCAAAAACACCTAGTATGTATGCTCTGCTCCATACAGACTAGAAGAGCCTATCAGCTTTATAAGGAGAGTCAGAATTCTCATGAACACTGGCTTAAATGTAAACAGTAAAGCCGTTCTGGGATACTGTAAATTCACATGTACCCTGGGGCCCAGCAAATTCCATAGCAAAGTATTTATCCAAGGGAAAAATCATATTCACCACCAGACTTGTACCCAGCATGGTCTTACCATTTTTACATAGTCAAAACCAGGAACAATCAAATGTAATAGATAAACAAATAGGCCTAATAACCTTAGCTCTACTGGTTAAAAGCAGTTAATAACAATGGAGTACTTTTCAAGAATAAAAAATAATTTATCAGGCTGGAGATGTGGCTCAAGTGATAAAGCAACAGCCAAGAAAGAAAGAGGAGATGGTGTGACTCTGAGTTCAAACCCCGGTACTGACAAAGAAAAAGAAAAAAAAAAACCCTCAACATAGGAAAGAAAACACAATATTTGTTGCCAGGTGCCAGTGGCTCACATGTGATGTCCTAGAGGACTGAGCAATGAAGATCACAGTTCAATATCAGCTCAGGCAGAAAAGTGGAGAGACATTAATCTCCAATTGAACACCAACAATCTAGAAGCAGAGCTATGGTTCAGTGGCAGAGTGCTAGCATTGAGCAAAATAAGAGTACACAGACAGTGCCCAGGCCCCAAGTGCAAGCCTTAGAACTGCACTCGGAAAAAAAACCCTCAATTGTATAAAATTATGTGGTTGAACCTGAAAAACAGTATAAGAGGCAAAAAGAAAGAGGATTATGTAGCAGACAGATGACAGCTAATCTGAAGGGTGGGACAGTATCCTGACTGAATACAAAGGAGCACAGGATCTTTGTAGAAACAGAAAGGACTCTACACGATGAAAGGGGTATCTGTCAAATTCATTAAGTCAGATGTGTAAGGTGGAAGCATAATTCAATAATTTAGTAAGATAAAAGAGTTTTAAGGAAAAACAAACACTTGTATGCAACTAAAAGTTTTGCACCTGGCACTGGTGGTTCATACCTATCATCCTAGCTCCCTAGGAGGCTGAGATCTGAGGACTGCAGTTCAAACTCAGCTAGGGCAAGAAAGCCTGTGAGCCTCTCATCTCCACTCAACTACCTAAAAAGCCAGAAGTGGAGCTGTAGCTCAAGTGGTAAGGGTGCTAGCCTTGAGCACAACAGCTCAGGGACAGCACCCAGTCCCAGAGTTCAAGCCCTGGAACAGGCAAAGAAATAGATAAATACATAGATAAATAAATGTTTTGCATTTTAGTTTCATCAATGAGTCTGGCAGTATCGTAAGTTCTACATATGGGTCAGTGTAGCTCACCACCAGGCAGAGTTGCCCGTCTGCCCCCTCCCTTGCAGCCTAGGCCCACACCTGGATTTCTGCTGTAATTGCTGCATTTAAGGCTGACTCTAATCCTCCATCAGCCATCAAGCTGCCGACCAGCAGATCAATCATGAATCGACGGCCTGGGCTTATGTTCACTTCATTACCTGAAACTAGAAAAGAAATTGGTGGGTTTTTGTTTGTTTGGGCTTTTTTTTTTGCCAATTTGAAGAAGTGCCACTCCCTTCCCCCTCTTCCTCACACACACCTGTGCAGGGCAAGAGTGCAGAGAGGGCCCGGGCCCGCTCCTCAGCCGTGGGCAGCAGCACCGACCAGCCGCTCTGCAGCACGGCCTGAGCGGCCGACTGCACGGTGCTCAGCACGCCTGCACTGCTGGCCAGGGTCACCACAGTTTGCTTCAGGCTGTTCAGGAGGACACTGCCCAGACCTAAACCAAGGAATTCTGGGTCAACCTGGTGACTAATGGCAGCATGCAACTGAAAGGGAAAAAAAACAAACAAAATAATGTTCACTAGGATCTCACAAAAGTAAACCGATTTCAGATGACTGATAAACACTAAATAAAACTTAATTTGAAAAACTATATAAATAAAATTAAGTTTTCAGTTCAGACTGAAATCCCTTATCCAAAATGCTTACAACAAGAAATGTTTGGAATTTTAGATCTTTTAAATTTCGGAATATATGCATATACTTGAGATATCTTGGGAATGGACCAAAGTCTAAACACAAGATTGATTCATGTACCTTACACACATAGCCTGGAAGTAATTTTGCAGAATATTTTAAATCACTTTGTGCACACAAAACAGTTTGAATATACTGAATTTTCCACCAATAGTATCATGTTGGCATTCAAAAAAGAGTTTAGAATTTTTTGGAGCAGTTCAGATCTATGATTTTAATTTTCAACCTTTATATGCATTTTTTTAAAAACTTACACAAAAAAATTTACCCACATTAGTTGAGTATTCTCATTATAAGAATACATTTTTTGAGCTGGGTATGGTGATGCATGCCAAGAAGTCCAGCTACTCAGGAGGTAGAGATAGGAGGATTGGTTTTTTGAGTCCATCAGGCAAAAGCTACCAAAACCCTATCTCAAAAACAAGTTGGGATTGGAGAAGCTAGGGAAGAAAAATGGAAGTGGTTTCTCCCACCTCCCATCTCCACCCTTCTTCTCTTTTACTTGACAGTTTAACCAGAACTTTTTCTATAGACAACATGATAGTTCCAAGACTATATTCCCCAAAGTTGATTATGGCCAGAATAAAACATTCTTATTCTTCCCCTGAATAAAAAACTGTCAGCACAAAAGTAAGTTTTATAAGCCTCAACCACATCACAACATAATAATCTTATTTTAAAACACCTCAGAAGTTTCACTGACAGTTCACTAACAGGGTCAGTTGAATACCTGCACTATGCATAAACAGTCCTGAGTTACTTATAAAAGGAGCAGGGGCGTGGGAAAGTGCTGTCACCTGAAGTCGCAGAAGATTAAGCGTGGCCACAGCCATGCACTCCTTCTCCTGGGGAGGAGGCCAGTCAGCAGTGCCATCCATGCCCTCACTCACTTGCCGCAGCAGGAGATCCAGCTGCTCAAAAGTCATCGAGCAGATGTCTACCACAAAAGGAACACGGAGGCCAATGGACCACTCGGAACAAGATGACCAGGCAAAGCTCTACAGGAGAAATATGAGAACCTGAAACAAAATCTGCAAATTCAGCTCCTGGACTGTCTGTCCCACAGAAAAGATAATACAACTCGGTGATAAAAACACTTAAATGATGACTTACTCATTCCTCTCACTAACTGCCCACATGGATGTGGATGGATATCTAGCTTCCAATTTCTTCTCCTATTTCACTAACACCATCTTATTTTGCCACACTTAAAAAATGAAAAGTATTCTTTAAAAAAGACTTTTACTCTCAAATCACCAATCCACTAGGTGGATATGGGGCTGTTAATCCACTTAAAATTGTACCAACAAACCCCACCAATTATCTTTTCTAGAATGCTAATTTCAGTAGGATTTAAAGGGAACTTCCTTAATCTGATAAGGCATCGAAAAAGCTGTTGTTAAACAAACAAAAAAGCTCATAATAACCATTATCGTAGTAATAAAGTAATAAAGACACAATGCTGTCCTCCTCAGATCAAGAGCAAGGCAAGGATGCCCATTCTCACTTCTATTCCACACCACTTGCCAGCCATGAACAGAGCAACAAGACAGATAAAAGACATATAGCTTGACAGGAAGAGAGAAAGGCCCCTAAGAAGAAAAACCCAAAAAAGAACACAGTGAAGCTCACAAAGCAGTGTTTCATACACCTGCAGGACATAAGACCAACAAAGTCAGTAGTATTTTTATATCTTTGCAATGAACTATATGAAATACCAAACCAAACTACATACTCAGTACCTGGGCAGGCCCACAGGCAATTCCAACTATGTGTTTGGTGTCCAGTCCTGGCAGTGCAGCAGGTTCTGGCTTGGTCACACGCAAAGTGTCAAAGTGCTGGCACTGGTCATTGCTCCCCCAGCTGTGCACCTCACTGTCCTCGGTCAGAGCCAGGCAGTGGGTGGAGCCTGCAGCCACGTCAATCACCTTCTTGCCTGTGAAGAATCAAGATGTGCAAATGCAGCTTCAACACCAGGCCTTTAACCTGAGACAGACATCTGCACCACAGCTACTGGGGCTCGGATGGCATTATGTATTGGCTTAAGGACACCTTGTTCCGTGAAGATTAAGCACGATTCATCTTGAGTATTTATTAAGACTTACATTTTGTCACCTGTAATTTGTTAAGATTCAGAGCCTACAAATTATCACTAGTGTTTGAAAAGGATCAGCTGGGTTTTTTTCAGTCAGAAAGAGGTGTGTGTGTGTGTGTGTGTGTAGGGGAGGGGTATTTGTGGGGTTTTTTTCAGTCAGAAAGAGGTGTGTGTGTGTGTGTGTGTGTGTGTGTGTGTGTGTGT